GCAAATTAAAAAACCCTTAATTTGTAAGTGCTTAAAAGCTTTACTTTTCTTTAAAATATTTCTATGGAATGCACAGAATTTTCAGTCCCCCTAAAAAAATGCAAAGATGCTTTTATATAAAGATTTAAATATTATAAATGAATTAAGGTAATTCGTTAAAAATGTAGTGTTTAAATAGTAATTTTATAATTCTTTTCTTATATGTCAAGCATCTTAACGCAGAAATAAAGCGAATATACGATCTCAAGTTGACTCATGTCCTTGCCCGTGAGACTCAACGTCTCATGTGTAAGCAAATATCAACTTGGGGAATTGAATCCTATAAGGATGAAGTGGCAGCGGCAACCTTCGAAGCAATTGCGAGTGGCAAGGTTGATTTTGTAGTCGAAATGATGAAATTTAATCCACGTAGGCTAACTACAGTCAAGGATGGCATAGGAAGGAACATTCTTCTGGCCGCAATCGCATTTCGCCAGGAAGAAATTGCTAAATTTATATATGAAAGCAACGCATCCAAGTCACTTATCGGTCAGTATGATAATTACTTGAACAGTCTGTTACATGTCGCAGGACAAATGGCTCCTTCTGTTCAATTACATGGCATGTCTAGTCCTGCTCTACAAATGCAAAAGGAGGTACAATGGTACAAGGTATGTAATAATAATTAAACCTAAAGTCTCAAATTAGATATATTTCATTATATACATATATATTTTTTCGTGTGGACCAGAAAATAAAGCTAATAGACGGTTTTTTCTATCAACATACAATTAAGCTAACTATAGGTCAAGAGATTAAGATTTGTTTAGTAAAGTTTTAAAAAAAAGTTCAAATAAATATAAGAATTTTATTTTTTTTATTTTAAAATATAAATTTTTTGATTATCTAAATTATGCAGTGCACCGCCAGAGATAAAGAACTAGGATCCCATGATCTAGGCTCCCCCACTATCAATCTCTCCAATAATGAGCCTCTACGAATAAACGTAACAACTAACTTTATGATTTTTAAATTTTTCCCAATGAAAGGCAGAAAACATATAGATGAGTCCTGAGATAGAGGGTTAGAACTAATTAAGGTGGACCTCGGCCCTTTCGACTAACTTCACCTTTTATTAGCACCATGGCTATTGCGTGGTTGTAGGGCAACCGCCACCCATAATCTCCATTCCTCTGCTATCACCATAGACAAGGATCGATCTCAAATAAAGCCACAGCAACATACACCAAACTATCCTCATTGAGTACCCTATCCGCATCATTAATGATCCCACCCTCTAATTACAGCTTTGCCTCATTATACCTTTAATCCTCATCAGATGCAGTAATTCTATGTACGTAGTACAATAACCTGAAAAGCTCT